AGCTGACAAGGCAGTCTTCTTTGTGAGGGTTTAGGGTTTAGGGTTCAGGGTTTAGGGTTCAGGGTCCAGGGTTCAGGGTTTAGGGTTTAGGGTTCAGGGTTCAGGGTTGAGGGTTTAGGGTTTAGGGTTTGGCCTGTGGTGGCAGTCAAGGAACTTTCAGCATAAGTTGCTATAATATGGGGTTCCTTCTTAATGGGCTCTTACAAGGGTTTAGGGTTTAGGGTCTCAGGATCTTAAACCCTAAACCCGAAGCCCAATAAGGAAACCCTACTGTGTACTATCTATCCCCATTATGATAATTTAACTTAGGTTCCTTAGCAGCACCCGGCTTCGATCTTCGGTTGGGGCTTGGGAGTCTGGAGGTTCAGGGTTTAGGGGTTTAGGGTTTGGGCATTTCGGGTTTAGGGTTTAGAAGTTTAGGGTTTAGGCTTTAGGGCTTCGTGTGCCCATGACTACTAACTAGTGTCATAGTTTGTGCTGGTTGGGGGGTGATGAGACGAAGGAAGTTCAGGCTCTTCATGGGTATGGTGATAAGGATGGCGATGTGGTTGAAGCACCATGACAATGATGATGACGATGATGATGGTGATTAGGGTTGTCTTTCTGTGCAGTCTTTCAGCAACGCGTCGCACATACCAGACTCAGCAAGATTGCTTCCGGCCCCCCACCGCTCTTCGGAGACGACCAAGAGACCGCGTGCGAGAAAACCAGCAGCTACCGCTGTGCTCAAGTTGCTATAGCACACAATGGCAAGAAAAAGTGCCTGTCAATACCTTCTCGAGCAGCCAAAAGCTGTAACAAGAGGGTCATCATGGAACTTGCCAAGAAGTCAACCAACATTGGACATTTGCAAGGAGAGGCATGTGTATATCACCGAACAGTTATGTGCACCTGGCAACGAAGCAAAGGAAACGGAAAGTACTCAGACAAGTCGGACTTCAGCAAAAGCAAAAGGTACGAAAGAACCAGGCGCAGGAATGCTACTCAATAGGTCGCTCGTGCTCGGTTGTCTTTTCGCCGCATGCAGCAGCACTCATCAAAGTGTGAGACGTTGACTATTCGGTACGGCGGCCATTTCTGAGGCCAACTGGCTGGCACGCACCTGAATCAGGCGCGCTTTGCATCATTGCTGTAGAGGGCTCCGAGTGCCAGACTTTGGCGGCTGGCAATTGCAATGGTGGTAATGCCTGAAACAGGGCCGAGCTCACGGCACAGCCGACAAGGTCCGAGTGCTCGCCTTGTCTTCGAGAGCTTCATGGTGCTTCCGGTCCAAAGACGCATCAGTACTTCCGGTTCTGCAGTGTGGACGTGATAGAACCAATGCCTCATGACACGACTGTGACGGCACCAAACAAGCAATCACTGCGTCGAAGCCTCATCGAGCATTTTTTGACCGACTGGCACACGCCTAGAGGAGCCCTTAACGGAACCCTATTCTGGTTGTTATACTGCCCCTAAACTCTCAACCCTAAAGACGCGGTCTCGCCTCCCGCCAGGGCTGCACCCGGCGATTGCCTGGGCAGGGGAGCCGAGTCCCGGGTTTAGGGTTTAGGGTTTTGGTGTAGGGCTTAGGGTTGAGGGATAATTGTGAATGTTATTCCATAAAGTTCTGATCATAAGTTAAAGTTATAGTATAACATACCCCGAAACCCCATACTGATGATTTAAAGACCCCTGTAGTAAGTGGGCTTTACGGTTTAGTGCTTCGCCGCGCATTTTTCGTTGAAGGGTTGTAGGCTAGCGGGAATAGAAAATGCGGACCACGATATCACATGGCGACTGAAGGCCGTTACACTTTTGGGTCTGTCTGGTTGATTGAGGTAGGCGTAGGGTTCAGAGATTCGGGCATCGGTGTTGTGGTAAATGGCACCTCTTGTAGGATCTGTTTCGGAGTGTTGGGCAGTGGAGTTTTCAAGCAGGGGCAGCAGTATGATGACCGTGCACGGTGCCTGCGAACCCCGAGTCCCGCGTGACCTACCCACCGGCCCAGCTGCCCCTATCCATCTACCTTCGTACCTGCCTGCCTGATTGCCTGCCTGCCTGCCCACCTTCCCAGCTGTCAGGCAGAGCGATATGTACACGTGTCCGTGTGCGTGTGTTTTGTATGTATATGTGCAGCATGCGTGCACTGCATGCATGCAGGCGCACACTACACGTGTGCATGCGTACATACATGCGGTCGGTTTGCACTGCCTCGCCTTATATGGCGAAGCATCATGTGCTTCTTCGTTTTTTTGGGGGTGCTGGTTTGCCTGTATAGCTGAAGTATGACCCCCTAAACCCTAAACCCTAAACCCTAAACCCTAATCCCCACGCCCCGGGAGGAGACCCTAATCCCCACAGCCAAAACCGTTTCAGACCCAAACAAACCCTAAGCCCTAAGCCCCAAACCCCAAATGCTTGAACCCCCAAACCCTAGAACCCTAAAGCCTACATCGACTTGTCTTGTTGCCTACGTCCGGAAGCTCTGCTACAGAGGTTCTGGCTCGGTGTCTGGACATCCAACCCAATGAGGCCCCGGGTTCGGGATTCTTGTGAGGGCTCCTCCGTTCAAGGGACCCTTAAAGGGAACCCTATGTGCCGGGAAAGGGAACCCCATTCTAGAACTATATGGGTAGTTCTCTAAATTAGGGTCCCTGTTTAGTAGGTCCCCAATACTGCGCCGGGCATGTATAGTACGACATCCTTGTAACAAGGACCCCAACAAGACACTAATTGAGGGAATTACGCTGTAGTGCTCGTAAAGGGAACCTTGTGATAGATCCCTATAACGTAGTGGCCTTAATAAATCGACTAGGCTTTTGGTGTACATTATGCTGTAATTATTGTAAGGAGCCACCAAAATACGGTTCATGATATAAATCCTGCATGAGCCATAATAAGGAATATACCATCATTCTCATAGTTTAGGTCCTCAAGGTAATGCAGGCATGAACAGCAGTACAGGTAATGATTAAGGACCCTATCTTCGCACCCTTATGGGCACCTTTCGGGTTCCTTTCAGGTGTAGGCTTGGGAGCTCGGCTTAAGGTTTAAGGGTTAGGGTTGAGGTATAGGGTTTCAGGTTGAGGGTTGAGGGTTTAGGGCCTTTAAGTTGTAGGAGCTCGGGTTCGGGATTTAGGGTTTTGGGGTCTAGGGTTTAGGGTTTGGGTCGTGTCTTCAGGTTTTGGTTGGCCCGAATGCCTAAACACGAGATTCGGAGCCTTCAAAATCCTGAACCCCAAATCCGAAACCAGAGATCCCCAACGCTAAAGCCTACTATAGGATCCAAAGTAGTTACCAATACTACTTTGGGGGTTATACACTTCTTATAGTTATAGTACAATTAAACCCCAGTGCCCTTCTCTACTTATCTGAACACCGTTCGTTGATCTAGGTTCTCCAGCAGTACTAGTACTCTTGTGCCCTTTTCTCTCTTTGAGCTCCTTGTTTGAAGCCCAAGAGTAGGACAAAGCGTGCCCTTGTTATTAAGGGGCTGCTGGGGAGCCAGTTAACATTATGATTGTACCATGGTCTACCCCGAACTCTTACTACCTAAAACAACAACGGCCCCGATGTCTAGCCCGGTGCCTTTTTTGAGGTCGTCCTGGATCCGATGTGCGGACGAGGGGCCGGGTAAGACGTGTTTTACGGCTGTGGGCGTAGGTTCCAGAGTGGTTGAGGGCATTAGGTTCTGGAGTTTGTTTTCAGGTTTGTGCTTGTTTAGTCATGAGGGTTGAGGGTTTAGGGTTTGGGGCCTTGGGGCATACAAGTTTGAACATCATGCTTGAGCGTTGTGCAAGGGTTTGAGGGTTCAGGGCTTTTGCACAGGGTCGAGGGCTTCTTCGGGTTTTAGGCTCTAGGGCTTCAGGGTCTAGGGGCTTATATATATATATATATCCTGCATCACCTTAAGGACCCTAAGCTACGGGAATTCTGGTGTATTCCTTCTTATGGGTGTTGTAGGATTTATATCATCAACCGTATCTCCCGTCAGTCTTCTGTGCGGTAGTCTTTGGGATTCAGTCTAGGTCTAGGGTGGGGTGGAGGGTTTTGGGCTGGGATCTTCTGTTCTACAAGTGTGTTTATGCTTCTCTTTTTGGGGAATCGGGCTCGGGGTTTCAGGAACCAACCCTAAACCTAAGCGTCAGGGGGATTTGTTCCTCGGATGTAAGTGATGTAGAAGCCTGAGTAACTATAAATGGTATCCAAAGCGTCCTCATTATAGGTATAGCATAGTAGACCCCAAGCTTTAGTCTAATCTGAACGTCGCCTACAAATTCGAGTTATAAGTATGGCTACCCTGTTTGCACTTAGAACCCCAGCGATGCCACATTGCTGAGTCCTACAACCCTCCATTTAAGATGCCGCAAGTCCAAGAAAGCCAAACCTAGAGCTCAGAACCCTCAACAACGTTTGGACAAAGCCACCACCCTAAACCCTAAAACCCTAAACCCTAAACCCTAAAGTCCTAACCCCTAAACCCTAAACCCTAAAACCCTAAACCCTAAACCCTAAACCGTATCTCCTTCTATGCCAGGTGCTCCTATGCGAGGCGGCGCTGAACTGGCGCCACGGAGGCGGATGGCGACCCGAATTAAACCCCACATCTGTCGGGCCCGGTTTTGAGTTCCGGCTGTGGGGCTTTAGGGTTTCGTGTTTCAGGGCTTAGTGCTCAGAGCTTCAGGGCTTTAGGGCTTTTGGGCTTTAGGGCTTTTGGGGTTTAGGGCTTTAGGGCTTTAGGGCTTAGGCTCGACCCGAAATCCTAAACCCAACCTAAGCCTAAATCCATTAGCCGCGCCATCCCAGATTCTGGAACCGCGCCCCAAACGCGAATCCTACTTTGTGATAACACAAACTATCTTAATCCATGAGTGGTTACCGCACTGTTGGCAATACTGTTTTCTGAATGCTGAGGCCCCCATACTAGACTCGACACCTACGGCCTCTCGACATTTCAGAAAGATGTCCGCGTTCTCGCCGTGTTGCTGCTCGCTATTCTGGTTAGGCCAACAAGCCATGCACACACCTCAAAGCATTCACCAGCGAAGTTACCTCCCCTTGAGTCGACAGCTATTTTACAGCCCCACGTGGACCCTAAACCCTAAACCCAAAACCCTAAACCCAATGTATGGACTATTTGTGCATGGTGTTTCACAGGAGTCCCTTGAATTTCTGTATACTCTATGATACCCCCAAGCCCTGTCCGAACTATAAAGGCCTCCACCCCCCCGCTATTAGTTCCACATACGCGAGCTTCAACCCGAAATGCGGTAAATCCGAACAGGCCCAACATTGCCAATTTGGAGCAATCTGCCATGCCCTGGATTCGGTTTCATGTCGATTTGTGTCGACGTGCATCTGATCAGTGGGAAGACAGTATCTCTGGAAGCAGGAGCAGATGAGACGATTCAAGATTTGAGCCAGCGCGCCCAGATTGCTCTGGGAGTCAGCAAGGGCAGGTTGTTCACTTCGTCTGGACAGATCTTGGACGGAGCTGCAACTGTCAAGAGAGCGCGGCTTCAGGACCGCGAAGTGCTGACCCTGCAAGTAAGGCATGCTAGGATTGCAGCTTCCTTGGTTCATGGGGCCTTTCTTTGTGAAGAGTGCGCTTTTGCTGCAATCCTTGGCGACGGTTCCGTGGTGACCTGGGGCTGTGCTGAATATGGTGGGGACAGCAGTGGAGTGCAGGATCAGCTTCAAAGTGTTCTGAGCATCCAGAGGTCTGTAAGGGCTTTCGCTGCACTCCGAGCTGATGGATCCGTGGTGACCTGGGGCGGTTCGGCATGTGGCGGGGACAGCAGTGCGGTACGGGACCAGCTGCATGATGTGCAGCAGATGCATGCTTCTTTCTTTGCCTTTGCTGCGGTCCGGACTGATGGATCTGTGGTGACCTGGGGCGACAATGCAAGGGGTGGCGACAGCAGTGCGGTACAGGACCAGCTGCAGAATGTGCACCACGTCCAAGCTTCTAGTGAAGCCTTTGCTGCGATCCGGGCCGATGGGTCAGTGGTGACCTGGGGCAGTGCTCAATCTGGAGGTGACAGCACTGCGGTGCAGGGCCAGCTGCACCATGTCCAGCATATCCAAGCTTCTTCTGGAGCCTTTGCTGCGATCCGGGCTGATGGATCAGTGGTGACCTGGGGCCACGCTGAATCTGGTGGCGACAGCACTGCCGTTCAGGATCAGCTGCGCCATGTTCTGGACATCCAATCTTCTGTCCAAGCCTTTGCGGCGATGCGGGCTGATGGATCCGTGGTGACATGGGGCCTCACTGCAACTGGAGGCGACAGCAGTGCGGTACGGGACCAGCTGCATAATGTTCAACGCATCCGAGCTTCTCATCTGGCATTTGCTGTGATCCGAACTGATGGATCGGTCGTGACCTGGGGCCATGTTGTATGCGGTGGCGACAGCAGTGCGGTACAGGACCAGCTGCACAATGTGCAGGAAATCCAATCTTCTCATCGCGCGTTTGCTGCGATCCGGGCTGATGGATCAGTGGTGACCTGGGGCGGCGCTGAATCTGGAGGTGACAGCACTGCCGTTCAGGATCAGCTGCACCATGTTCGGCACATCCAAGCTTCTTTCTTTGCCTTTGCCGCAATCCGGGCTGATGGATCAGTGGTGACTTGGGGCGGCGCTCAATCTGGAGGTGACAGCACTGCTGTGCAGGATCAGCTGCACCATGTTCTGCACATCCAAGCTTCTTTTGGAGCCTTTGCTGCAATCCGGGCTGATGGGGAAGTCGTGACCTGGGGCATTGCCCGGTCTGGTGGCGACATCAGCGCAGTGCATCATGTGCTGAATGGTTGAACCGAGCCCTGTTGCCATTGCACTCAAAGTTTGTTCTTGCTGTTGCCGCTCCCAGCATCAGTGTCAGCCCAGCTTTGATTTGGGGATGAATGATACGTATAATGAGAATAATCATGCTCATACTAATAATTGCTAATATTAATATCAGCTACTAGTAATAATAGCAATAATAGTACTAATATTAATAGTCATAGTAATAACGGTAATCGTGGTCATAATCGTAATAGTAATCGCAACAATAATCGTAGCAATAACAATATCAATAATGAGTAATGATAGTAGTAGCAGTAACAACAGTAATACTACTAATAATAGCAATAATAGCAGTTATAGTAATAATAGTGATAATGGTAATGATAGTAATAATAGTAATAGTAGTAATAATGGTAGAAATAGTCATAGTAATAGTCATAGCAATAATAGTGATAATAATAGTAGTACTAGTAATGGCAACAATAGCGATGACAAGTTGCCCCCGACTGGAAGCCAACTCGTCAAGCGAGAAGTGCACCACAAGAGATCCTCTGTATCCCCACCTAAGCGATGCCCCACAGAGCCCTAAACCGCCCTCACGCTTGAAGTCCGAAGCCGCAAACCCGAAAGCCCACAAGACACGATCATGATCACTGTTATTCTTGTTCTTGCTGTTGTTATTACTTACTATTAATATTAACAAAATTGTTGTTAGTATTACTATTTGTGGTATTATCATCATCGTTTTCATTAATCCTAAATCCAGCTTCCTCAACTCTTCAGCAGCGAAGCGCCCAAAGCTTTGCTTATGCCCCTAAGCCTTGCATCCCCCAACCCTACCTGTAGCCCCAAATGCAACGAAATTGTAGGTTATGCTTTAAGGTCCCTTACCTCGAGTTTCAAGCCTGCAGCCAGTAGATATGCACATGGAGCCACAGCCAACAGGGTAATAAATTGGAGTAACATGGGAGAACCCCGGACGGGGTACAGTACACCCTAAACCCCAAACCTAAACCCCTAATTTTGTAAACCTCGAACCTCCAAACCTTTCAAAGAAAAAACCCTACAGTACCTCGAAGCGAACGCGAACACAAAGCCGAGGAACTCTAGGGTTTAGGGTTTAGGGTCTAGGGTTTAGGGTTTAGGGTTCAGGGTTTAGGGTCTAGACCCTGAGACGTGTTCTTCTGGAAGGGGCCTTCATCGGTTGCGACTCCGATGCGCAGCAGCTGTCGGCTGCTGCCGCCAACGCTGCCGGCATCCGCCGGGCGGCCCCGGTGGAGGATCCCCGGTTAGTTTCTTTGCGGTTTAGGGCGTAGGGATGCTTGGGGTTTAGGGTAATTAGCAGTTGGCATGCTTCGTTGTTATGATTGTTGGTTTCATGCCTGGGTTCATAGTAAGTGTTACTGTTATGCTTGCATTTGCCATTGCTTTTTTTTGCCATCCTTCTTTGTATGTTCAGAGTGGGCATGCAAGGTCAAGAAATGTCACGTTGTCCGGGAAGGTTCCAAGTTTAGGCGTGAAGATCCGAAAACCCTAAACCCTAAACCTGTAGGGATTTGGCAGTATTGAGGGGATCAGGATCGAGGTCAGGTGATTTAGGTTGAGGGTTAACCCTTGTGAAATCCTGCTCTGTTAGTGAATCCGTGTTGACGTTCCTGTATAGACGTAGTTCTTGCAGTACTTATAATAGTGCTAGAGTTGGAGTTGCAGTGAAACGCATGTACATACTGCAGACGTCTTGAGACCAAAGCAGCAGCTAGGAAAAGCTCGATTGCACCTAAATCCCCCAGCTACTTCGCTTTCCAAACTG